AAAAATTATAATCCAGAAAAGAGCAACTGCATTTACTATAACAAAATGCACATCTAGTAGGTACTCCGGGTACATCATATCCTTCTTGTCTTTTTCCCTCTGAGTCACTTTCAGTTAGCTCTGCCCGAGATTTATACGTTATCCTTCGTCGTCCTTCATGATTTCTATTTGTGTTCATCATAAATATGATTCACAACCAAGATGAAAAAATAAATAAAATAAAATGTAAGTGTCATAGTTTTTCATTCGTTATATCACAGGCGGGCGGTGGTGCGGTAAATTAAATAGGATTCTTGATACTTTACAAGATGTATGCCAAATTGGATAAGTTCTTGTCATAGGATATAGTTAGATATATTACAGATATATACAGTTTGTATTGCATAATACTATTTTTTCGTTCTTGAATAATACGATTTTCTTACAAAATTTTCTAAAAAAAAGCTAAATTTCTAATTAAATGCTGCTGCAATAGGATTCAAAAAGTAAGATGTGTTTCTTTGATGTTTCGTGGCAACATAGTATTAATTGTAAATTTTGTGCTTAGTATTTTTTTTATTAAGATGTAACTAAGAATGAATGTATTTTAATTTGTCTGTGAGCTTTCTAAATTTGTGGGCAACATACTTACGATTTTTACTTGATCCCATTCTATGTTTATCAAAATTATCATTTGATTTTTTACACATAAGTAGTAACTAATAATGTATTAAAGTTTAAAAAGCAAGGTATTTACAAAGTTTGTAGGCAATGTTTTTCTATTATTAAATCTTATTATTAATTTCTAATGGTAAATATTGATTTTGACGTCACTCAAATTCAAATTGATATATAGAGAAAGTTTGCAGCATAGTTCTAACGCTAAGTTTACCTTACTATTTTGATTAAGTTTTGATATCTTTGGAATAATTTAATTGATTTGTAATGATGGAGAGGATAGGCAGAATTAGTTTTGAAACATATATTTATATATATTGCACACTTTATTTTATAATTTCTATTTTATTTATTATATCATTTTTTATGGGTTGTTTTAAAAATTTTGTTCACAGGCTATATACTTCACTCGTGCTGCAAAGCTATAATTATATTTGTGTTCATATTTTTTTTGTCAATTTTTCTGGCTTGTATTTTATTTTGACCGCCACTGTTCAAGTGTTATTTTGAAACTTTATTAAGCAAGAAGATCTAATGCATCAGCTGACTCACCATTTATCAAATTGCTAATGTGCAATATCTTTCCATGTTTATTGTATTTAAAGTCGTACAAGAACTGCTACTAAATTTCAATTATATATATATATATATATATATATATATATATTATTATATCTTCAATGTAATTGTACCTGGTGGTAACATCAACATATTTTTACTGGACAGTTGTAAATAAAAGAGTTAATAATAAAAAAAAATATATTTTTTTTAAATTTATATTTTAAAAATCATACATTTTGGCTAATATAGTCTTCATTTATTTAAACTTATAGATTAAAGTATGCCACAATAGTCAAAATATTTGAATTATTTGTAAAAATATTTTCTGTGATTTCTTACACCAGACAATGTGTCTGACTGGAATATAGTCAGTATGAATGTCTGTATGAATATATATTTTAATAAATGATATTTAATATTTCAGACTACTCTAATATCTCTGGAAGGCTTATCCAAAATCGTGGATTCATCACAAATTACGGCAGATTTGGAAGGAACTTTATCATATGATCATGCTCAATGGATCGATCTTCGTTTGATGTTGGAAGAATTCTCTTGGCAAGCTGGTGATCTTCTGGACAGACTGGACGATTTACAGGTACTTGAAATGAAAATCCTTGCTTTTCCTCAATTATCATGATGATATTTTTATTCCTGCAGAAATAATATAGACACAATAAATTAGCAATGGTGACAAAAAATAATTGTAATCAGATAAAATATTTAAACAAGTTTGATAGTAAATCCCATGGGAAATGGGATACATTATTCTAATACACGTTTGCTTGAAAAAATGTCATTTTTCTAGAGTGCTTGTCTCGTTATTTGATATGATAATCTTTTTCTATCACATAATAGGAGGATTTGTCAAGAAGCGACTTTGCCGAAGACGTTCCAGGAGCCAAACACGGTATCGATTTGCATAATGATATGAAAAAGAAGATTTTGAAGACTCCCATAGAGGATTTAGAATTGCAAGGTAAATATTTGATTTCTGAATTCATTATAATTTGAATTTTCTCCTTGAACTGTGACCTTTTAGAAAAATAAATATATTATGAGCCAAAAAACACGTAAATAAAAATTTATTACTGTTGGAAATATTTTAATTATTTTTTATCCCCAGGTCAGAGGTTGCTCCAAAGATTAGGAGCAGATGCGAGCATCTCATCATCATCATCATCCCATAATAGAAGTGACAATCATTCGGACAGTTCCTCGAACAACGCGTCCAATAGTTCTTTGGGAACCTGCACCAATCCTGATATGGCAGCCTGTATACCACAAGTTCTACAACAATTGGAATCCGTACATGCGGCCAAAGACCACGTGCTTCAAACTTGGCACACCAAGAAGACGAAATTGGATCAGTGCTTCCAGTTGAGATTGTTTGAACATGATTGTGAGGAGGTGAGATAATAGATAGATAGTGTTTAAATTATCTTAAAGTAGAATTGATCAAATCTAAATTATATCATTTTCTTTCGATAGATGTTTAAATGGATTTGCCAAAACCGAGACAAGTTCCACATGAGCTATGTAGAAATAGGTCACAGTTATGCCTTGGCCAAATGTCTTCAACAAAAACATCAAGGATTTGCAGTTGCCTCGATGAATGTTTCGATAAATATCAGCCGAATCTTGGCTGTTGCAAATAGACTAACCGAAGACGGTCATTATGCTGCTCAACACATCAGAGCAGTTGCCACTAGATTAGATCGGACCTGGAAGGAATTTGCTGCTGGGTAAGAATAGATAACTATTAATCATATAATCTGGTTTGTTTTTACATTTATTTATTATTATTATTATTATATTATAGATTGGATGAAAGAACAGCAGTTTTAGCATTGTCAGTAATATTCCACCATAAAGCTGAACAATATTGTGCTAGTGTGCCTGGATGGTCAGCAGCTTGTCAGGGACAGAATGGACCATTGCCGACTGATATTCATCTGTTAGAACAAACCATACATCAGCACCAGAATTTATATGAAGCTATGTGTCAGGCTTACACTGAGGTAATATATACTTATACAAATAATAAGAGATTCAAGAATATAAAATGTACTGCACTATTTGAATAATTCTATTCGAAGTATAATAAATGAGAAATTAATTCTTCTGAGAAATTAATAAGTTGTTGAAAAGTAAAGCATATGCATATAATATTTTTAGCTATTATATATATATTATCTAAAGTTTTATATAAAGTAAATATATATTATATTGTGCTGAAAAAGGTTTACGACTCGTACCAAATCTTATTGAATGGTCTGGATACAATGTTGCAAGTATGCCATGGACTTCCCAATCAAGAAAGGACTGAAATCATCAAAGATGAAGAAGATGATCTGAGTGTAATTGAAACCAAAATAATAATTATTTGCTTTTTTAATTCTTAACTAACACTTTATAGATTCTAGTAATTGTTGTTGGATTCAAATTGGAATCTAATGGTTAAAGCTCTAATCTTGGTTTTGGTGAACAATTAGCCAATAATTGAATAATGGTTGCAGGTAAAATGGAGAATGCAAACTTAATTTAGGTCTGAAAGGCTATAGATCGTGAGAACTAACCAAATGGTTTTGGATATTAGATTTATAGAGTATAGAATTAGGTTCCTTAGCAAATTGGAAAGGTCAAAAATACGAACCCTGTTTAATCTTCTTTCTGTTATTCATGTTAAATATCTGTATGCTCTATACTTGTCTATAATATTTTGTTTCTCAACTAATTGAGAAGAATAAATACATATGAGAAAGGAAGATTATTCTGGTTTACAGACATTTTGTCTGCCATATGTATCTATAATAAAATCCTTTGATCATTAAAATTTCCATGATAATCATTTACCTACTACTCATCTTACTTTAATCATCAACATTTAAATATTTTATTTCAGCTTTCAGTGGTGATTTGTTACTTATACTTCTCTATACTAAAATAATTCAAGCTATGTTCTTGTGTTTATTATAAAAGATATCAATTGTTAAATATTTATGATTTTATTCCAGGTTCATTCAACAAGCAAGAAGTTATTATATCAATTAGATCATCTCGTTCAAGTTTGCAATCAACCTCCTCAACCTGGTTTACCGGATCATAGAAAACATGTATGTATATTATTTATTTATACATATTAAATTATAAGAAGATTTTTAAAAAAGACGAATATGATATTGATTCTTTAATTAAAAATGTATTTCTTATAAACTGAATCAGATTTGTGAATATTATATTTTCTCAATGCTTGGTATAGACTATAAATATTGAGTTTTTATAGCTGGATTGTTCCGGATATGGAGGTGGAAACCCTGCAGCTGATTACAGTGAAGGTGCATCTCATGTTCTCGCTGTCATTCACCAGATTCTTGGTCACCATAGAGCCCTTGAACAAAAGTGGCATCAGAGCAAAATTAGTATGCATCAAAGATTAGCTTTGAGACTATTTCAGGAGGATGTCAAACAGGTATATAAGAATACATGTTTATTCATTATTGGATAATGTGATTGAATTTACTTTAGCAACAGATTTTTTTTAATCGTGGTGAAATTGTTTTTGTGTTTAATCCTAAAGCTATGGCCATTTACTCAAATGGCCAATTACTCAAACTATTATTTAAGCTATCTATTATTATTTTGTCCCTTGTACAATTTTATTTGCCAGATATACTTACGTTGATAAAAGTTGCAATAGTATTCTTTAAGATCTGATTTGTTGGTTCCCAAACTTTGGTTCCTTACGAGATAGACATCTTATGTGATATTGACATTTTTTTTCAATTTAGAACTTAGTATTAAAACTTAAAGTAAGTAAATTTATAAATCAAGTTTAAAATAGAAAAATAAAGTAAGGAATGTATGCTTTTAATTGATGGATGAATCTAATCAGAATCGCATTTTCAATTGATAGACCTGAAATTTGTTTTGAGCAACTGCAGAGTCTTTTGCAAGTTGTTTTAGATCTTCTAGACATTGATATTGATTACTTTAAGAATTACTGATGTCAATGTATTTCATAAATTAAAAATGATTGATTAACGAAGTTAAGTCCACTCTTAGCATTACAATTACATCCTTCGCATTTATTAAGTGGTTTCTTCAGTAATATTTTAATTTGTTTTAATTCTCCAAGAGCTAATAGGTGTTTTCCTACAGGTTTTGGATTGGCTGGAAAATCATGGTGAAGTATTTATTCGCAAAAACACAGGAATTGGAAGAAATTTGCAGAAAGCGCGCGTGTACCAAAAATCGCACGAGCATTTCGAGAATGTAGCTCAGGTTAGTGATCATAATTTTAATATATTAGTCATTATATATATATATATATATATATATATATATATATATATATATTGGGGCTAGTCAACTATATGTACATATATATATATATATATTATATATATATATATATATATATATATATAGTTGAGTAGCCCCAAGTCCCGGGACTTGTTGAGTAGCCCCGAGACTTGGGACTTGTTGAGTAGCACCAAGTCTCGAGTCCCGGGACTCGAGACTTGTTGACTAGCCCCAAGTCTCGAGTTGCGGGACTCGGGACTTGTTGAGTAGCCCCAAGTCTCGAGTCGCGGGACTCGGGACTTGTTGACTAGCCCCAAGACTCGAGTTGCGAGACTCGGGACTTGTTGACTAGCCCCAAGTCTCGAGTTGCGAGACTCGGGACTTGTTGACTAGCCCCAAGTCTCGAGTCGCGAGACTCGGGACTTGTTGACTAGCCCCAAGTCTCGAGTTGCGAGACTCGGGACTTGTTGACTAGCCCCAAGTCTCGAGTCGCGAGACTCGGGACTTGTTGACTAGCCCCAAGTCTCGAGTCGCGGGACTCGGGACTTGTTGACTAGCCCCAAGTCTCGAGTCGCGAGACTCGGGACTTGTTGACTAGCCCCAAGTCTCGAGTCGCGAGACTCGGGACTTGTTGACTAGCCCCAAGTCTCGAGTCGCGAGACTCGGGACTTGTTGACTAGCCCCAAGTCTCGAGTCGCGAGACTCGGGACTTGTTGACTAGCCCCAAGTCTCGAGTCGCGAGACTCGGGACTTGTTGACTAGCCCCAAGTCTCGAGTCGCGAGACTCGGGACTTGTTGACTAGCCCCAAGTCTCGAGTCGCGAGACTCGGGACTTGTTGACTAGCCCCAATCTCGAGTCGCGGGACTCGGGACTTGTTGACTAGCCCCAAGTCTCGAGTCGCGGGACTCGGGACTTGTTGACTAGCCCCAAGTCTCGAGCCGCGAGACTCGAGACTTGTTGACTAGCCCCAAGTCTCGAGTCGCGGGACTCGGGACTTGTTGACTAGCCCCAAGTCTCGAGCCGCGGGACTCGGGACTTGTTGACTAGCCCCAAGTCTCGAGCCGCGGGACTTGTTGACTAGCCCCAAGTCTCGAGTCGCGCGACTCGGGACTTGTTGACTAGCCCCAAGTCTCGAGTCGCGGGACTCGGGACTTGTTGACTAGCCCCAAGTCTCGAGTCGCGGGACTCGGGACTTGTTGACTAGCCCCAAGTCTCGAGTCGCGGGGCTCGGGACTTGTTGACTAGCCCCAAGTCTCGAGTCGCGGGGCTCGGGACTTGTTGAGTAGCCCCAAGTCTCGAGTCGCGGACTCGGGACTTGTTGACTAGCCCCAAGTCTCGAGTCGCGGACTCGGGACTTGTTGACTAGCCCAAGTCTCGAGTCGCAAGAGTCGCGGGACTCGAGACTTGTTGACTAGCCCAAGTCTGAGTCGCGGGACTCGGGACTTGTTGAGTAGCCCCAAGTCTCGAGTCGCGGGACTCGGGACTTGTTGAGTAGCCCCAAGTCACAAGTCCCAGGACTTGTTGAGTAGCCTTAAGTTACAAGTCCCGGAACTTGTTGAGTATCCCCAAGACTCAAGTCCCGGGACTTGTTGAGTAGCCCCTAGTCTCAAGTCCCGGTTGTTGAGTAGCCCCAAGCCCCGGTAGTTGAGTAGCTCCAAGTGCCTAGTCCCGCTTAATGAGTAGCCCAAGTCCTAAGTCTCAAGTCCCGGTTGTTGAGTAGCCCCAAGCCTATAAAGAAACAAAGAATTCTAAAAATCTTTTTTTGCTAGAAGTTTCTGCTAGAAGTCTTTGCCAGAAGTTTTTGCCAGAAGTCTTTGCCAGAAGTCTGCCAGAAGTCTTTGCCAGAAGTTTCTGCCAGAAGTTTCTGCCAGAAGTCTTTGCCAGAAGTTTCTGCCAGAAGTTTCTGCTAGAAGTTTCTGCCAGAAGTCTTTGCCAGAAGTTTCTGCTAGAAGTCTTTGCCAGAAGTTTCTGCCAGAAGTTTCTGCTAGAAGTTTCTGCCAGAAGTTTCTGCCAGAAGTCTTTGCCAGAAGTTTCTGCCAGAAGTCTTTGCCAGAAGTTTCTGCTAGAAGTCTTTGCCAGAAGTTTCTGCCAGAAGTCTTTGCCAGAAGTTTCTGCCAGAAGTTTCTGCTAGAAGTCTTTGCCAGAAGTTTCTGCCAGAAGTTTCTGCCAGAAGTTTCTGCTAGAAGTCTTTGCCAGAAGTTTCTGCCAGAAGTTTCTGCCAGAAGTTTCTGCTAGAAGTTTCTGCCAGAAGTTTCTGCCAGAAGTCTTTGCCAGAAGTTTCTGCCAGAAGTCTTTGCCAGAAGTTTCTGCCAGAAGTCTTTGCCAGAAGTTTCTGCCAGAAGTCTTTGCCAGAAGTTTCTGCCAGAAGAAAAAAAATTGTATGGGGGGGCATAACGTTTTTATAAACCTCAAGGTGGGGCGGGGCCCAAAAAAAGGTTGGGAATCACTGAGTTAGATGCTTTTATAATGGTTATTCATATAATAATGATCTGTTATTATTTTATATTTCTTTACGTTTATAACTCATAACTATGGTATTTTCATATTTCATTCAAAATGTTATAAAATAGTGCAACAACATATTTATTTATTTATTTTCTTGTTAGAAACCATACAGATAAAATAATAAATAATAAAATGAATACAAATATGTACAAGGGTAATATATATGTAGGGTTTCAATTACAAAATGCAAAGTTCGAAAACTACACTATCTGTGTAAATAATTAATTGACAATTACACTTGTCGTAGGCCTATAATATTTCATGTTGTTTATTAAGACTATAAACTCTATGATCGTATACAGTTTCATCAAAATCGTCAAAACCTAATGGTTGTCCTTCTGTTCGTTATTAGGATTTTGTTATTTTTTTTAACTTTCCGTAGGATAAGTTATAGTAATGACCCGAGAATCGAAAATGAAATTTTTTGCATATCTTCACGTTTCAGAGGTTTCTGAACATTTTGGGGTACTTCAGAAAAAAAATTATTTGCGTGTATATGTATGTGTATATGTGGAGACAATTTTTTGTCGACTATTTCGGGCGTATGGATGAACTTATTTCAAAAATTGCAATCGATTTCTATTGATAGGGAGATGTGCTGATTATTTTTTGGCAGAGACTTTTTTGCACAAAATAGAAACCGAGTTTTTGAGAGAACGGATGGTCAAAAAACATTCTTCTTGTGTTGGCAAAACGATTGTGTTATTTTTACTGGGGAATACATTTTTTTATCTTTATTTTTAAGTGAAAAGGAATATCACTACCTCACTACTGCTTGTCATTTGATAAAATGTTTTGCACATTTGTCACCATTTTCGCAGACTATTCAAATGTATTGCAATAGTTTTTAAATTTAAGATTGTTCTCTAAATCTTTATAATAAAATTTCGAATCTCGCGCGTTCTTGTAACCATAGCAACGCAGGATGGAAGCGCACTTGTCGTTGTTTCCCTTTCGTTCTGTTTTCGTTTCGCGGTTAGTTTGAAATGTGCAGCCGAAGAGCACGGATGTGTTTTTTTTGTGGGCGTAAAACTTTATGTCAAAAACGGTTTCTAATAATATTAATTAATAATTGATAAAGGTCTTGAGAATAATATAAGTGATTTTGTGTGAAAATGGTTGGGGAGAAATACAGTAAATTATTGATGTGATCGTAGGTTTTTAGTTGGAATGTTTAGTGGTTTTTGTTAAATGTGGTTATTGTATATGTTTATCAGTTTTAGTGAAATTTTCTCTCATTGGAATCTTCCAAAAAAATCCTATATATATATATATATATATATATATATATATACATATGTGTGTGTGTGTGTGTTTAAGTTTAAAATTAATTATAAAAGTAGTTTCTTTTATTAACAACTATATAATTCATGCGTGAAAATCTTTTTACATGATTAATTAGTGTTATATGAAGTTTCTTAACTTTAATTAATTTGTAAAATTAATTACAAATCGGTAAATTGTTTGAAAAATATTAGACATGTAATTGATTAACAACTTACTCAAATTTGATTATTAATTTTAAAAATTTTTATTGCAAATTTCTTTTCATTCGATTATAATAATTTGAGATCCCATAATCATAATCATAAAGTCTACTAATCATATTTTAAGACACTTCTATATATTTTTTAAGAATTTTTAATAAGAAGATTGTTTTTGAGGATAACAAAAGAAGTTTGTTTGAGAATAGAACCCTTTAATTAAATAAGAGAGCTAAATTCTAAAATTAAATTAAAAAAATCCAAAATTAAAGTATTATGTTATTTGAATATTTGTGTTTTGCTTAAATCTTAAATTACTATAATTGAATCTCGTTAAAATTTCATAATTTTTTGGAAATAAAATGACTACATTCGACATTATGTGTATGTATGAATATGTATGTATGGATAAGATAATTTAGCAACAAGTTATAATTTTCCTAATTTTAAATATAAATAATATTATAAATTATTTCTTATATTTTATAAGATAAATATGACCAAGGCGACCGACTTTTCGAGTCATTGACATTTTATACATTCAGTGTTTTGTAAAATATAATTATTGTGTTCAATTGTGCATAAGGATAATAAGTGTGTGTGTGTGTATTACTATATCCGTTGCTGTGATTTGTGGTTACGCGAAACATTGTTTGAGAGCCTTTGGTGTAAAGAAGAGGTAAATGGTACTCTTAATATTATTTAATCACAAATTTATTCTGATACGCTACAAAGAACTCTAGACATTTGCATTGCAGAATGATTTAGTTAATAATTTAGCAAATGTTTAGTATTACAATAAGAAGTTTTGGACAATTTGGACATTATGAAGTTAGCTAAAAAAAACTTGTTTTTGAACTTGCTAAATAATAGTATGGTGGAGTATAGGTATAAAGATAATAAATGTAAAAAGGTGATTTTCGAGCCTACATTTCAATAAAGTTTTTCTTAACATTTTTAAATATTTATTTGCAAGTTGCAAGATTCTC